GGGGGGGCCGGGTGCGAGGGGGGAGGGGGTTGGGGACGTGAGGGAGGGGGGGCTTGTGGATGCGAGGGAGGAGGCGTTAGTGAACGCTCAGGATGATACGACTGCGAATGATCAGGAGGAGAACGAGGTGCACAGGACGCCTGTTGCGACTAAACGCGGACGAGGCACTGCAAGGGGACGTGCGCGGGGCACGGCTGCTGCTACGCGCGGCGGGAGAGGGCGCGGGGCGGCGCCTGTTGCTGCGCGCGCGCCTGCACGCGGGGGTGCGCCTGTCACCGCGGCGCGCGGTGCTGCTACGGGCGCGAGGGGCGCTACGGCTACGGCTACAAGGGCTCGTCGCGGTGGAGGGATACCGCGTGCTGCGCCGTCTACGGTCAGGCTTACGCGGAGCTCGTCTACGCGGACGATCGATACTCAAGAATCTGCCGGTTCTCAACCTACTGCGAAGGATAAAGATAAAGGGAAGGAGAAGGCGCCCGAGAAGGAGGTCGAGCAGAAAGATGAGGACGAGGTGGAGATCGTCAAAGACGTACCAGATGCTATGGACGTCGACGACGGTGCGCAACCCTCTCTCTTCAGCTTACCATACGATACTAATGCAGATTGCGTGGACGGTAGAACCGGGCTCGACGTCCGTGATCGTCAAGCCGAAGACGCCGTTGAAGATGAGCGTCGAGTTGCCCGCTGAGGGGTCCAAGACGCCCGGGCGCGCGAAGACGCCGGTGTTTGCGCGGCCGAAGACGCCGGGGGTTAATGCGAGGTCTACGGGTGCGCATATACTCGCTATATATTACATGCATGGAAGCTGATGGGGGTGTTTACAGGCTCAGACGCTTCTTCCAATGCGGCCCTGCCGAAACGAACGGGAGGGTTCGCGGCGCCCACTGCGTCGTCGCTGTCCAAGACGCAAGCTTCGCCGACGAAGAAACCCGCGTCGTCCATCGCGGGCCCGTCGTCCTCGCGCGCATCATCGCCGACCAAACCCGCCTCTTCGTCCACCACCACCACCCGCCCCTCCCTAATATCCAAATCGTCGCATTCGTCACTGTCGAACCTCAACGCGGTCCTCGAGCGCTCGCGGGCGCAGACGAGTATGGGGTTCAATAGGGACGTGCAGAGGTCGACGGCGGGTACGGGTGGAGGGAGGAGCAGGGAGAGGGAGGAGCTGCCGGATAGGCTTGATGGGAGTCTTGTGGCGAGAGAGTGGGGCGCGAAGGGCAAGGCGGGCGCGGGGAAGGAGAAGGAGAAGAAGTTGCCGCCGGGGCAGACGACGCTGGGTCTGAAGGGTAGTGGTGCGGGGCCGAGCAAGGTCACCGGCGCTGGACCTAGTAAACTCAACGGCGCGGCGGGTCCGTCCAAGGCAAACGGTGCGACGGCGAACGGCTTGAAGCGCACGGCTTCGCTCGGCGCGCTCGGCCGTGGTCAGCCGAGCGGAGGGATGAAGCAGGCCACGCTGCCCTTCGGCAAGCCGAAAGTGCCGCCCACGGCGGGGTTCCCGGTCAAGAGGATGTACGCGAGCCAGAAGAGCGGGTTGGCAACTGTTAAGGGGAGTCCGGTCAAAGGCGGCACGAGTGCGATGCTCGAGGCGGACGAGGATGAAGAGGAGGACGAAGAGGTGATGAATAGGTCGATGGTCAAGGGCAAGGGCAAGGCTCGGGTACCCGGTATCGAGCCTATGGATCTTACCAGCCTCGGCGAGAGTGCCTTGGTAGACTCGGAGGACGAGGATCCGGATGCGCCAGGGTACTCGACGACGATAGGCCCCGTCACGCCCGCATCGCGCGTGCACGCCGGATGGGAGAAGAACGCCTCGCGCCGCGCGTCGCTCGCCTCGCAGGCGCTCCTCGCGCTCCAAGCCCAAGCCCAAGTACAAAGTCCCGGGACGCCGCCGGAGAGCGAGCGCGCGCGGAGTACAAGGAGCGGCGGCGCGTTACAGCCGAATCCGGGTCCCGCGCCGCAGGGCGTGCCGAAGGTGCTGAAGCACTGCAGCGTGTATGTGGACGTGCGCGGGCCGGACGGGGACGACCAGGGGACGTGGTTCGTCGAGACGCTGAGGCTGCTCGGCGCGCGGGTGCAGGCGCGCCTGGGCAGCGCGTGCACGCATATTGTGTTCCGCGGGGGCGGGGCGGGGACGTTGCAGCGGTACGCGCAGCTGCCGGATCCGAAGCCGGCGGTCGTGGGGGTGGGGTGGGTCGTGGCGTGCGCGGAGCAGGTGCGGGCGATGGGGACGGAGGGGTACGCGGTTGATGTGGCGGCTGCGAGCGCGGAGGCGGTGGTGAGGGAGAAGGCGAGGCCGGCGTTTAGGAGGGGGAGGAAGAGCGCTGTTGTGGGGGTGGGG